AAAAGTTAGTAATACAGGATAACTTACTCTAGTTCCAGCTCCTGCCAACCTAGCAGTTCGAAACAAGACATTGCAAGTAGATAAATAGGGACCACTTCGGTGGGAAGGTAACAGCGTTCCGTGCGCCTTGGTGTTTAGTCATGCCGGCCACATGACCACGGAAACGTCTTCGGGCAGCGCTGGCTCTTCGGCTTTGAAACGGAAATGAGCACCGCAACCCTAGAGTCGGACTAGACTGGCTTTCGAGCAAGGGAACCTTTACCTTTACTTTTTACAACGTATGGAGCATACTGTAGTGATATGTCTGTGTATTGTTTGCCAGGTCAATCGTGAGACGGGTGCAGTGATCTAGTGTTGTGGTTGTTTTATACTTCCTTGTGTCAGTTGTGGATCAGAGGTATAAGCATTTATGATATATGCAGCCTCTTCTGAGCCACAGAAATTCCAAGTGTGGGCTGGAAACAAACGATTCAGGCAACCCCACCCGAAAAACACAAGACTTCACCCATTAAGCCTGATTCCAGTGCTGGGACGTGGAATTACAGTGTAGACAGAGCCAGGAAGTTCCTGTGAGGAGCAGGATTCCACACTGCGTGCACCAACAGGGCATAAAGGAGAGGACATTGTGGGTGGTGCGAACTCTCACAGCCATGCCGAGGGCTAGGCAGCGTCGCTAACTCCATCGGAATATGAGGAATGCAGGGGTTAGCTCCACAGGGATGTGGGGAAAGGTGTCCTCACCGGGGCCGTGAACATTGGCACTTACCACCCCCTGGTCTCCTTTGCAGTGCTCCAAGTCCTACTCCAGCCAGTTCTTGGACATCTTTAACGCCCACCACATGGCAGTGGACGCCGTCAACTGGAATCCTTACCACAGCAAGGTCTTCATTTCCTGCAGCTCAGACTGGACGGTGAAGATCTGGGACCACACCATCAAGTACGTCCAGTCCACCCACCACCACCTTTCTTGCCCGGGGAGGGGTCTTGAGGGCCAGGCGGTCTCGGGGCCCAGGGGCCAACCTCAGCTCTTTTTCAAGAGTGGTGGGAAACTCGGGAACCAGCCATGTCTACCAGATCATCTTCATCCGCAGGCTGACAAGTAGAAAAAAGCAAGAGTCCAGTAGCACCTTAAAGAACATAAGAGAATCCAATGGCCCATCCTGTCCAACACTCTGTGTCACACAGTGGCCAAAAATACCAGGTGCCCTCAGGAGGTCCAGCAGTGGGGCCAGGACACTAGAAGCCCTCCCACTGTCCCCCCCCCCCAAGCACCAAGAACACATAGCATCCCTTGCCCCAGACTGAGACTTCCTATCTATACCTTGAGGCTAATAGCCACTGATGGACCTCTGCTCCATGTAAGAACATACATAAGAAGAGAAGCCAATGTTGGATCAGGCCAGTGGCCAATCCAGTCCAACACTCTGTGTCACACAGTGGCCAAAAATACCAGGTGCCCTCAGGAGGTCCAGCAGTAGGTCCAGG